CGCACACAAAGACGTTGAAGAGCAGAGAGAGAAAGAAGGTTGTGGCGGCAAGAAGGAACATAGAGGCCAGTCACAGCACCAGAGGGGGAGGCAGGACAGGGAAGGGAAGAGGTAGCGGTCCCCTTGAATGGAGAGGGGACGGAGAAAAGAGCGAAGCACCCCAGCATCACAAAAGACAGAATCAGTAGCACCACTGTCAAGAACAAACTCAAGGGTGCGAGGGAGGGAAAGAGCATTAGCTGTGGGACCAAGATACTGAAAATCATTGCCATCAACAGAAGGAGTGAACATCATGGCAAAACGAGGGTCCATAAGGGGAGAAGCCCCCAGAATGCTATCCTGACTAGGCATAGTCACACTGAGAGCGGAGGTCTGAGCACCTGCACCAGAGTCGGCGGCCGCAAGGACCGCCTGGGCAGAGGACTGGCGACGTTGACGAGAGAGTTGGAGCCAGTTGGGAGGGTGACCAGTGTTGCCAGCTAGGAGCCAGTCATCGGTTAGCTTCTGGAAGCAGGAGGAGGCGGGATGATTGGTGCGACCGCGGGGCTGACCCTTGCGGGGCCCCTGGCGAATGATGTAGGTGCAAGGAGGAAAGGTGTTGCGAGGGCGAGAGGAAGCAGCGGCGGCAGTGGTGGTGGGGAGAGTAGGGGGGGCGGAAGAGGGTGTAACAACGACGGCAGTAGGAGGGCAGCTGTGGAGGTTCAGCGCTGCCTGAAGGAGGAAGGCAGAGACACGAGAGAACGACCACTGGTCGGCGGGGCGCTCACCATATAGGATGACATGAACACTGTATTCAGGAGTGTGGCATGTGAGGAGGAGGGCACCGCACACATGATCGGAAAGTTCAAACTTTTGAGCGGCAAGTTGAGAGGACAGCGTCTGCACACGAGCAATGTAGCCCGCCATGGTGGTGAAGTCAGCAAGGCGAAGAGAGGTGAGCTCGCGTAAGAGGGCAATGACACTGATGGGAGTCTGCGACTGGAAGCGCTCAGTAAGATAGCCGAGAAGGTCCTTGGCATAGCGGATGTGCGAGCACTGAGGGAGAAGGGTTGGAGGTAGGCAGGCAAGGATGACCTGGCAGGCACGTGCGTTGGCAACATGCCAGTCAGCGAGAAGGTCAGAGTGAGATGGAGCAGAAGCAGAGGGCGCAGAGGCAGAGCAAGAAGAGGGGGCAGCGAGGTGCTTAGTGAGGCGCTTGCGGGTGCTCTCGAGGGACTCAGCAAGAATACGAGCGAGGTCACGGGCTGCAGCATTGTCAGGAGCAGCCGCAGCAGTGGCTTGGGCCGTGGCCGCAATCCGCTCAGTTTCAGCGATAGCAGCACGAAGGCCATCAGCATAGGGGTCAGAGGAGGTGGAGGTAGGTGCAGAGGCAGGTTTAGGAGTGGCTCCAGAACCACTCTGCTGAGTGACAACCAGAAGTTAAAGCCACTCACAAGGGTGCTAGACAGCGTGCGCTCAAGACAGTTCAGCCAACTGGGGAAGTTGACTGCGCTGCCATCAGGCGCGAGCTGAAGGACCAGCAGAGGGAGGGAGGGGAGGGCGAGAGAAGTCGCCATAAGGAGGAGGAGACAGCTGCAGAGCAGATGAGGGGAGAGGTATAAGAGGCGGAGGAATAAGGGGCGAAGCAGTCTGCTGCTGAGCCGCTGAGGGGAGAAACAAGAGGAGGAGGGATATCGACGGAGTAGTCTGCTGTTGAGCCGCTGAGGTGAGAAACAAGAGGAGGAGGGATAGTGGCGGAGTAGTCTGCTGCTGCGCCGCTGAGAGGAAAACAAGAGGAGGAGGGATAGTGGCGGAGTAGTCTGCTGCTGCGCCGCTGAGGGGAGAAACTAGAGGAGGAGGGATAGTGGCGGAGTAGTCTGCTGCTGTGCCGCAGAGGGGAGAAACAAGAGGAGGAGGGATACGGAATTGGGAAGGATTTCACAGTTGAGCAGTTGAGGGGAGGATAGTGAGGAGGAGAAACGATGTGGAAGAGCAAAAACTTCAAAGCACAATCAATCACCAGCTGCTGCAGATGAGGAGAGGAAAGAGGTGGAAGAAGGGTGAGTGAAATAGTGGAGGGGAATTTGAGGAAGAGAGGAGAGGAGGAGCATGGTGAAGGGGCGGATTTGTGGGAAGGGTGAGTTCTTGCCGAAAGGACGTGCCAAGCACGTACGAGTTGCAGTGGATGAGGAGAGAGAAAAGGAGGAAGAGGTGAGAAGTGAGGGATGCACAAAGGAGAGAGGAAAGGAGGAGGAGGGTGAGGGAGGGGGGCGGATTGGGAAACTGCAGGCGCACCGCAAGGGAGGCAGGCGCGCGCTGCTCGACGGTGTGAAACGCGCGTGGAGACGAGAGTGCAAAGCGCGCGCGATGAGACGGGGGGGAGGGAGGGGATGGCTGAGCGCACTACGGGCGGAAATCGGCGGGCTACCGTCCAAAACGCGAGGAGGAGGAAGCGGGATGACGAGGGAAGATGCGGGCGGAAAATTTGAACGGTAGGGAGGCGCGCTTCGGACTAAATTAGGGCACCCGCGCGAGTATAACGAAGAGAACCGTGTGGATGCTAAGAGTGACAAGAAAGAAACGAGAGGAAAAAAAAAAAGTCGTCTAGCTAAGTGGCGCGGAAATGGAAGTTATAAGAGCGGCAAATAGATAAAGGAGAAAGGAAAAAGAGAAGGAAAGTGAGAAGGAAAGGGTCGGAGATTATCTAAGAAATACGGATAAGTAGAAAACGCCTAAGACTACGCTCTGAATACCATGTTAAGATGAGAGGAGCCAAGTGGGAAACGCCTAAGACTACGCTCTGAATACCATGTTAAAAAAGTCGTCTAGCTAAGTGGCGCGAGGGAGTTAGGTAGGGTCGAGAAAAATTACACTAGGAAGAAAATGTCGAGATACAAAAGAGAGGGTTGGAAACCCTAATTGAACATAGGGCGTGTTCGGTTTGTACTAAGAACTGCGAAATGAACCTAAAATGAACCCGAATGCGTAACTCTCTCTAAGCATGGAGAAATAATATAAGAACACCAAAATAAAGACCCGAGTGAGCTCTAGCATACTCCAACAGTATGGGCGTCGTTTTACCTTATTGCAATCTTGCAACTATTGCACACGTCTACAACAGTAGATGAGCCATCTGTTACTTTGGAAAGCTGTCGTTGGAATAGTAATCTGTCGCAACTATCGCACGCGAACATAGGGCCTTCTTTGGATGCTTCTTGAAACCGAAATATAGCTTCTTTGACGAGTTTAGACTGCTCTTTTGCTTCATCATATCGTTCTTCCACGTCATCAAAAAGCTCATCCAATTGCTCATTGCCGACAAACTTGCCGGCTGTGTAGAATCCATCTACGTTGAATGACAATGTTTTCGTGCAATCAGGTCCAAAGACTAGATGCAATCCGTTTAAAATCCTCCAGCTGAAAACCTTTCACCATTCAGCACTAATCGCACAGTATAACGCGATCCATAATTGATGATGCCTACAAGGCTCTCACTGCTGGGTGCTATGCTTGGTATTGAAAAGTGAATATCTCCATTCGGATGAATCCTTCCATCACAAACGCAAAATTTTGTGTCATCTTCTGCCATTTCCTCATCTGTACATGCTTCGTTGCATGTAACAGTATTGAATGATAAATGTTGAGGTTAAGTGTGAACAGATAACGATTGTTCTTCTACATCTTGTGCCTCGTCTATACAACAAGAACTTGTTCCACGCTCATTTGATGTGTTCTCGATTTGGACATGCTCATGTTGCATACACACAGATGGTGTATGTTAGAATGGTCTTAGAACCTCATCCTAAAGCCTAGGAATCTTAGGAGCCAACTTGGGCATGAACCATGCTAGAACCAAAGGGGGTTAAAAGAAGTGAAGTTTCAACAAGAGAGAACCCTAACCTATAGGGTTTGAAAGGTGGTCCACTCTAAAGAGTGTACACCACAAGTTCTCCCAACCCAACCAATGTATTCTACACTACTATAGTGTAGATCTAACACTATCTATGTTTATTGGAGCAACTCGAATTAACCTTAATTCCAACACCCCCCCTTGATCTAATAAGCATTAAAGTTTAGACATTAATCGAAACACAACCCCTCCAGCGAATGAAGCCTTGGCCTTTGTAGCCATCACTCGCATGCCGATGCGCTTAAGGTTCTCATGCAGCTGCAAGCTTGGAAGAGCTTTGGCGAGCGTGTCGGCATCCTAGAGGTGGGAGCGTACTAAGTGCACCTCGGCCTCCGGCCTCCTGCTGACGCACCGCATCCCGTACAAAGTGCCATGCCACCTTAATGTGCTTGGTGCGATGATGGTGAACGGGATTGTGGGCAAGGGAGACAGCATCTTCATTATCACAGAACAATGGAATAGCCCCCCCATCCCCCACATGAATCTCTGCCAACAAAATCATCAGCCAAATGGCCTCCTTGGTCCCCTCCGATAGAGCTTTATACCCAGCTTTAGAAATGCTTGCTGCGACACTGTCTTGCCTTTTGCAATACCAACGATCGCTCCTCCTCCCAACTTAAAGATGTAGGCAGAGCGACTCTTGCCATCAGTCTCACCACCCCAATCCGAGTCGGTGTACCCAACAACCTGCTCACCACCTTGGCGTTCATACCTGGTGACACGATCAGCTGTATCGACCAAGTACCTGAGTGCTCTCAGTGCAGCACGCATGTGAATGCGTCTTGGTGCTACGCAGGACTGTTCAAGGGTGTTGACAGTGAAGGACATGTCAGGACGGGTAGTCACAGCAGCATACATCAAGCTGCCAATGAGACTCTGGTACACCTTGACATCAGCTGCAACACCTTCCTCACTCAACCAAGTACCATTCCTGAACTTGGAGAGATCATTGGGTGACATGGGAGTATGCACCCTATGTGTCTCCTTCAGCAGATCACCAAACATTTTCTGAAGACCACCGATCCTGACCAATCTCCAACCACCCATCCTTGACCAACCTGCGAACCTCCACACCATGGTACGTGGATATCTCACCTAGATCCTTCATCTGTTACCTCTGAGCAAGCACCTCCTTGACCTGACCAATCTGCTCCAAGCGTGGAGACACAAGCAAGAGGTCATCCACATACACCAATACATAAACAGGCTCTTCATCCACAAACCTGATGTACAAAGCCTCATCGCTTGCACTGCTGTCAAACCCTGCTGCAATCAGGGTGGTACCAATCTCCTCATTCCAAGCACGAGGCGCTTGCTTGAGCCCATAGAGAGCTTTGCGCAAGCAATATACTCTATCTGTACCATCATCAAATCCCTCAGGCTGTCTCACATATACCTTCTCCTAAAAAATTGCATTGAGGTAAGCATGATCAACATCCTCCTATTGTATATGCCACCCTTTTACCGCGACTTCTGCAAGAAACACCCGACCTGAGGTGAGCTTGGCCACAGGGGCAAATACCTGATCAAACTCCTTCTTCGGCTCCTAAGTATACCCCTGAGTAACAAGGCGAACCTTGTGCTATACCACCTCCTTGTCAGTCTTCCTGTGGAAAACATGCTTGACCCCAATGGCTTTCTTACCTGGAGGTAAGTCAACCGGCTCTGGATCCCATACACCCATAGTGCGCATGGTATTCACCTCCTTCTCAGCGCCTGTCTTCCATGCAGGGTCCTCAGGGCCATGCAGTGCCTCAGCAAGCGTGCATGGGACATCACTGGTGCTCACACCTACTAGCGGAACACCCTCCACCTCCTTGGCCAAGCACAACATACCCTCAACCACACCAGCATCCCCCCCTACCTCCTTACCACCTGTACCAGACCGGATACCAAGCACATGCAAACCCGTGACCGGTGGTGGGGAGGTAGTCGCTGGTGCCGTATGTGCGCTCGTAGAGAGAGTGACAGGGCGCTGACCAGAGGAGGAGGAAGAGGAAGAAGCCTGGGGAGCGGATCTCCGCTGAATGACCGAGGGGTCGCTAAGCTGCTGCAGAGGGGCAGGCTGCTGCTGCACCGACACACTCAGCGGTGCTGGTGGTGGTGTTGAAGGTGGCGTATCAGCATCATCAACCGCTGCTGAGGGTGGAGTTAGTGGAAGGGGGAGGAGTTGAGAAATCGCAGCGGCACCCTGCAGGAGCTCCCCAAAGCTCGTAGCCTTGTCCCAATCCTTCCACATCACATTCTCAAGAAAATCAACATCCCGAGCAATGCGAATGCGCATGATAGGAGGGTCCAACATGCGCCAGCCCTTGCTCTCCATGTCCACCCCAACACATACACACATGACGGCGCGGGCATCAAGCTTGCCACCCTTCTCATGCCCATGCAGCATGACACTCCCCATGCACCCCAAATCCGAGCCATGCCCGCATGCAGCTTCTGGCCCGACCACGCCTCCATTGGGGTGATGGAGGTAGGCAAAGCACTGTGGGTGACCCGGCTCTTAACCCACACGACCCACATCAATGCTTCACCCCACAAGCGAGCAGGGAGACCACTGTCAACCAACAATATGCGGATCCCCTCTGCCATCGTCCTATGCCACCTCTTTACCACCCCATTTTGTTGCGGTGTATCTGCGATACTCAGTTCAGTTCTGATGCCAAACTCTGCCTTCCATGCTTTCACAGCTTCCCCCAAGAACTCGACACCCTTGTCTGAGCGAACAACCTTTAGCTTCCGCCCACACCCCAACTCCACGTCCTTATGCCACTGGCGAAGGACTTTTGCGACTGTGGCCGATTCCTTGTTGGGGAGTGGGAACGACCAAATTCATCTGGTGAAGTCGTCAATGAGACTGAGGACATACACTGCTCCTCCCAATGACGGTGTGCGCACTGGCCCCCACAATTCCATGTGAACCTCATCCAAAGGCCCAAGTGTCTGAGACGCCTCATGGGGAAACGACTTTCGAGTCGTCTTTCCCAATAAGCAAGGCTCACATGGAGAGCAATCAGTGCTCCCCCCCCCAATTTCCAAGCCCAGTACACCGTTCCCCCGAGCCATTTGTTGCAATGTTGTGGGGGTGGTATGACAAAGACGACGATGAGCAAGATGGGAAAAATGACGAAGAGTATCCAGCTGCAAGAGCACTGCCCTGTGTGCCCCGAGCAAGAGGAAGAGACATCAGTACCAATCCATGGTCCCTTCCCCCCTCCTTTTCTCCAATCGCCAACACCCTCTCCCCCCATTTGAGAATACTTTTCTTGCCCTCGAATGTGACAATGACATCCCGAGAGGTGAGGTATGGGACTGACAGCAGACGCATGCGCATCTCAAGCACATGGTGGACCTTTTGAATCCTCAGCAGCTGACCTCAAGCACCAACCACTAGCACCTCGCCCATGCCAACAGCTTCTACGACCCGTCCATCTCCCAATCGAACTCCCCGAATCTCAGGTGGCTTAAGCTTACTCTTGTGGCATAAGGAGTTAAGCTGTGGCTGGCCCCACTGTCAATCCACCACCCCTCTCGCAATTGCTCTTCTCCTACTGCTGCAACTACCTCTCCAACCGCTACCTCAGCCTCGTCATCCTGCTCCTCCTCATCCGCCACCTGTGCCTTGCCGTTGGACCCGCTGTAAGAATGTCGGAATTCCTCCCTTAGGTCGGTGAGGACATCGCTGCCATGCATGTCCCTCATCCCAACAGCCATGACACAACCCCCTAGGAGCCATGCCCAAGAGAAATTAAGTACTCCTGCTTTGCCTTTCCCCTGACCCCATCTGCCCGAGTTTGTGCCGCTGCTGCTACCACTACCTCCATACTTTCCTCCCTTGTCCCAATTTCCCCTGCCGCTGCTGCCCACTTTCGTACCCGCTCCAAAGTGGCTGCACCATCCGATCTTGGTGCGACACCAATCCGCATCTCCTCGCTCCTCAAAGAGATAAGCAGCTGATCCTTAGTGAGCGATGATGATTGGTTGTTCAACACCACCTTCAGCATCTCAAAGTGAGGAGGTAGCCCTTTAAGTACCCTCATCATCCACTCCTCAACCTCCTCCTTCCTTTCTGCAACCGAGTACTTGGACCTCAAGTCTTCAGTACGCGCCCAGTATGCAGCCACTCCCTCTCCCTATTTCATCTTCAAGGAAGAGAACTCCTCAGAGAGTGCCATTCGGTTACACAATCCACGCTGAAGGTAGAACTCTTTCATCCATCTGTATGCAGCTGCTGTGCCTGCAGGAACTCGGATGACTGCTCTTGCTCCCCCATCAACAGGTGCGGTGCCCAACTCGGTCTTGCCGCCGAACTCCCGTACCAAGCGAATCAGCTCATCTGGCACCAAGGTATTGCAGAATTGGGTGAATGCCTTCTGATTTTTCCTCCCCCACTTTAGCCGTGCGTCAACCGTTGCAGGCCGCTCCTCTGAGCCATCAAAATACCCCCATCGATTGTGCGCCTTCGCCCATTGTTCGAATCGGAAGCTCCAAGTCCAATAGTCGCCCCCGTCAAACTTTGGCGCACTCTCCAGCTTTCCCTCGCTTGAGTCATGATCCATTTGTAGAATAGGCACTGAAGATTGACGTTCAGGTGATCGTAGAGGCAACGGCGGCGGCGGTGAAGACGATGTGGGCAGATTCACCCCCTCTTGGTTTCTGGAGCGTAACTCCGTGATAAAACCTCCGAATGATGAGCCGTTTAATTTTGATGAATCCTCGTTCCGAGCCCGTTCTAATAGTGTATCACGCTCCGGGATCGCGCGTCCAAGCTGTCCGCTTAAACTCGTCGAAGTTGGCCGATTTTCCGTCAACGAAGGCTCAACCGTTTCGCCCGATTTTTGGCTTGTTGGATGCGCCCTGGTGTCCTCTCTTAGTGCCCGTCCTCCAATTTCTTTTCCGCGCTTTAAATCGTCCTCGATTCACGATTTTCCAATTACGTCCGACTTGCTCGTCGATTGGTGACAACCCCGAGGCAATTGTTGTAAATCGTGCTGAGGCCTTTCCAACGGTATGCTGCACGGCTTGATCGGCCAAAGTTGTCTGAGCGCCTCCGTGAATGGATGTCGCTCTTCTCGTCCTCCCGAACTGATCCATACAATTTCCAGCAGGTTTTTTCTCTCCTCCTCCTCTCTCTCGTCCAGAGTCTGCCACGGTGCAAATTTGGCAGGCCTTCGGGAGGGATGGTAGCTAAATAGCTTCCACCTAGATATTATGGTCCAATGCTTTCACTAACTCCTATTTTAGAATGGTCTAAGCTACTAGCTGAAACTCCTCGTACGAAAGCCTGGGAATCTTAGGAGCCAACTTGGGCATGAACCATGCTAGAACCAAAGGGGTTTGAAAGAAATGAAGTTCCAATAGAAGTGAACCTTAACCTATAAGGTTTGGGAGTTGGTCCACTCTAAAAAGTGTACACCACTCTAAAAGTTCTCTGAATCTAACCAATGTATTCTACACTACTATAGTGTAGATTTAACACATCATATGTTTATTGGAGCAACTCGAATGAACCATAATTCCAACAGTGTAACAACACAATTGTCCGGAATGCTAGACAGGTCCACGACTTCCTGCACTTCTCTGATACGATTATGATGTCCATTGCTTGCTACCTCGCTCGAAACGATTCCAGATCAAACATGATTGATTGACTGTATTTCGTCGGTACAGATACTGCGGCCACGGATCGATTGCTCTTGTGCCATTTGATTTATCTTTTTGTTATCACATGATCTATCGCGCTTATCTGTCGCATGCGACGGAGTAAAATATGAAATTTCACCCTCATTACTTTCTTCAAGAAGATTGTAATGATTGTTGGACAATAGTAATTGAGTTTGATTATCAATAGATAAAAACACATTTTCCTCGTGTTGCATCCATTTGTGCGAATCAATCCAGATTATGACAGTTTTTTTCATTATTTCGCAAAATTATTTAATCTTGCGCGTTGAACCCCAAACCAAAGGCTGCTTTAAATACTGAATACGGTCTTCTGCATTCGTTAACGTAGCATCGCGACACATTGCGACTAAGTTTTGAAATCGCAACCAAATTGTGCGAACGCGTTCAACAATTGAAATATTTTAGTGAGGTCTAAAACGTATCATTATTCATCATTGCAAGTGAGAGACACCTATATAACCATGCCTCATCCCCACGCACGATTCGCCTACGAAACGCATACCTTCGTCTTAACTCACCATCAAAAGAAGGCTCCGTAAAATGCTGAGGTGCAGTAGCCATAGCCAAATGAAGGCATACATCACAAAAATAGCATCCACTGTTTACCTGCGTAAGTTAAGAAATAAGATACATTTTTTCGAGCTTGTTTCATATAAACAACAGTAAGATGAAAGCTTTGTTTTCTTTTTACATCAAACACATATTAATTAGTAATATGCACATATATAACCATCCAAAATTTAACCAACGCCCTCGTGATGAAACAAGCTACGAAAAATCAAACGTAACAATACTGGAGATTATGTTGCTTATTAAGAAGAGCACTTCAATGCACTCCAAGATGTTAGAACGTAACCAAATATCTTGATGATGTTCTTGTTATAAAATAAAAAAGAGACATAATATAAGAAAATTAAATATATACAAAATAATTGAACAGATCAAAGAGGATCACATTTCTTTGTATGATTCTTTCCATTATTAAAAAGAACAGCTATCAATAAAGTGCATAACGGATAGTTTTCAATTAGAAATACCTTTGGAAGACATATTGCATTTAAAATTACAATACATCAATAATTGTGTTTAAAATAAATGAAAAAAATATTTTTTTACTAATGATTTTTCTAGTACATACTTTGATCCTTGCGACACTCTTTCGTTGATTTTGAAGGAGTTCCACAGATGGAGTTGATAACCTTCAAACAAGTAGTAAATGTGGCGCAACACCTTAAAAGATGGTGAGTATTTTTTTTCTTAGCTAAAAAACATCTAAAAAACTTATATCTGGGTATTGATCGTAAAAAAAACACTTATAATTCGACAAAATGGCTACATATGAGCAACTCAACGGATTTAGAATCCAAAACTGCCAATGGCTCTGTGTATGAATCACAACATAATAATTATAAACACTATGAAACACACACCATAATATAACTGGAACTACGTAAAAAAACTTACAACAATTCCATTGAACAAGGTTTCGGTAAAACTGGGAGTACAAAATGAGGTTACAAGGATACAACACACAAACATCATTTCAAACGGACAACAAATAAGGCATGAAGTGAAGAACATGCCAACGAAAGAATAACAGATCTAAAACTGGTGAAAAATTCAAGTCCGCATTTAAGACAAATGATTGAAGCCTAATTATATTGTTCTTACAACAAAATATATGACCAACTCAAGTGAATGGCAAGGAGGAAATGGGATAGAAAACAAGAAATCAGAAATTGTGAAGGTAGAAGTGCCATAGCAATAAAAGGGAAGGGAGTACAAGAATACACACATAAATATATACCTTGTATACAGAACCTAAGGAAAAAAGAGTAAAGGCATAACTAATTAAAAAAAAAAAAAGCTAATTCTATCAGAAACAGCAGGCGAAAGCTTAGAACAGGAAAAGAGGAGGTTCACTAGCAGGCAGTTGAGTACATATATGCAAACCCTAATTTGGGCTGTACTTGCTATAGAGTACCCCACTGCAGGCTAGACAAACATCACATTCTGACATACCCCCATAGTCAAAGTGGGGTATAATCAGCACAGCAAGCAGGCAGAGCAGTAGGTTCACAAATACAAGCAAAGCTAGAGGCTATCACAGAGGGCAAGTGAGGAGGAGGAGAAAATGCGCGGGCGAGAAGATGGGAGGCGACTGCTGAAGCTGCAGACACACGGGCAACAGGAGTGCGCAGCACTGTCGCTACCAGGCTAAACCCGGACTACACGGCGACAGGCGCAGCTGGCTCGCTGTGCTCCCAGGAGTGCTCACACTGTGGCTACCGGGCGTAGAGACCCAGACAACTCAGGCCAGAGGGGGTCGTGGCTTTCTGGACTACCAGGAGTGCTCACACTGTGGCTACCAGGCGCAGAGCCCCGGACTACTCAGGCCACAGGGGGTCGTGGCTCTCTGGACTTCAGGCGCTGCGGACGACAAGACGACTGCCTCCACTCAACTTCCTCCAGCTGTCCCACACCCCTTTCACACACTCCCTGTTGAACCTCTAGCACCGCTCACACGCCACCCCCCTCGTACCACTCCGACGGCTCCAACACATCCACCCCCCTCAGCGGCAGCTGCAGTAGTGGGAGACGGAGGAGGAGGAGCAGGGGACGGCTCACACACACGGCACCCCCATACTCTCCACCCCCAAACCCTAACACAGGAGCGCGGGCAGCAGCGGGGGTGGGGCGCGGTCAGAAGCTCGGGGGACGGCGTGCGGGACCGGGGGAGACTGGACGGGCCGCGCACGGGGCTGGCGCAGGCCGGACGAACCGAGTGCGGGCCTGGCGCAGGTCGTGCGGGCCGTGTCGGGCGACGGGGGGCGACGCGCGGGTCCCCGGGGGCTCCGCGACGGGCGACGGAGGGCGACGCGCAGGTCGACGGGGCAGGAAACCGCCGCGCGCCTCGGGGCGCACGGCGGGCAGAAAACCGCCGCGCGATCGGGGCGCGCGGCGAGCAGAAAACCGCCATGCGCCCCGAGCGCGTGGCGGGAAGAAAAAACGTCGCGCACCATGGGGCGCGCGACAGACAAGATAGCAGCGGAAGCTAACGGTGGGCCCACAGGCCAGGAGCGTAACCGTTCTGACACCATATCAGAAACAACAGGCGAAAGCTTAGAACAGGAAAAGAGGAGGTTCACTAGCAGGCAGTTGAGTACATATATGCAAACCCTAATTTGGGCTGTACTCGCTATAGAGTACCCCACTACAGGCTAGACAAACATCACATTCTGACAAATTCACCTTGCTGATAACCAAAATCCACTCCATATATCTTACTACGAAAGCATTAAAAAAAAAAAGATGAACATTACTGAGGCAATAAGCTCGAGAAAATAACAGATGA